CCAGGGCCTTTTCTGCAGAACTACTGCAGAGCAAAGCCACAAGCAGAGAGGGAGAAAACCGGCTGCTCCCCTGGGCAATGAGACTCCGCACTGTCTGCAGCCCGGCCGATGGACTCCGCTGGCGGGCCCCGGCGGTCCTCTCGTGGCACACAGAACTCCAGCCCAGGCCTCACTGCGCCCGCCCCCGCGGGCAGACAAAGGCTCCTTGTAGTTTGCCCCCCAAGTTCTGCATCGACGCCGGAGTCCAACGCCACCCGGCACAGAGGTGGCATTGGGATGAAATCCCGGAGCACAGGCAGCCTCCCCAGGCCCCTGGACCCCAAGAGCCCCTGGCTTTGGGAGGGGACTGGGCTCTGGGCTCCAGCTTTGCATCGTGCCCTGTTCCTCCCGCGACCAAATGGCTGAGCCGGCGTGAGGCCCCGTTTCTGCCGGGGAAAGGCTGGCGCCTCCGGCGCGCTCACTCCAGCCCCCTGCCAGGGTGCTGTGGCCAGGCCTGCGTGGGGGGGGTGGGGGCAGGCGTGACCGGCGGGGGCCTTACTGAGGAAGGCGATGACGATGATGGTGGCCAGGCTCAGGATGGTGGCGATGAGCGGGATGCCGAGGCGCTTGAAGTTCTGGGCCACAGTGCGGGGCTTGCGGGCCGGAGGGGGGCCTGCAACACAGAGAGCAGCACGTGGGCACGGGGTCTTGGAGCACAGCTCCAGCACACCATGCCTGAGACCCGGAGGCCCTTACCTCTCCTGTTCAGGGGCCACGTGATGGTGGCCAGGCTCAGGATGGTGGCGATGAGCGGGATGCCGAGGCGCTTGAAGTTCTGGGCCACAGTGCGGGGCTTGCGGGCCGGAGGGGGGCCTGCAACACAGAGAGCAGCACGTGGGCACGGGGTCTTGGAGCACAGCTCCAGCACACCATGCCTGAGACCCGGAGGCCCTTACCTCTCCTGTTCAGGGGCCACGCAGCGTCCGGCTCCTGCAACGGAAGGGGACAGCTGTCAGTGGCCTGAATCCAGGCAGTGGAAGGACAGCTGGTGGGGGAAGGGCTCCTGGGGAGAGAGTGCACGGTGCAGGCTGCTTGCTTGGACGCCAACGGCCGGGATGCTCGGGTGGGATCTAAAGCCTGCTGAGGGCAGGGGAGGTTCCCACTGGTCCCCCATGGAATGACCCTCGTGGTCCCTGTGTGACGTAGTGGGGGTACCTGACTGGTTTCTATGCTGCTGGCTCTGGGGTAACCCCCTGTGACGGCGCGTTGGGGGTTCCCCGTCTCCTGCACCCCGAAATGGCACAAACAGACTGCACCAGCCGGGTGGGATCTAAAGCCTGCTGAGGGCAGGGGAGGTTCCCACTGGTCCCCCATGGAATGACCCTCGTGGTCCCTGTGTGACGTAGTGGGGGTACCTGACTGGTTTCTATGCTGCTGGCTCTGGGGTAACCCCCTGTGACGGCGCGTTGGGGGTTCCCCGTCTCCTGCACCCCGAAATGGCACAAACAGACTGCACCAGCCGCCGACCAAGGCCACCTTTCCTCCTGGGTCTGCGCCTGTCTCCCAACGTCACCGTTCCTGCTGTGGGGGAGGGGGCGCCCTGGTGGAGGGGCTGACGTGCTCCCTGGGAATCCCAGAAAAGGCCAATGTGGGGTGATTCCTTTTGGGGGAGGCTGCATGGAAGCAGAGCTGGGCAGAGGGAGCAGAGCTGCTCCTTGCATTACCCAGACGCCACCTACTGCCGGACAGGCTGTGACGTAGTGGGGGTACCTGGCTGGTTTCTATGCTGCTGGCTCTGGGGTAACCCCCACTGGCTGCCACGGGTACCACTACCCAGCAAAACAGGATGAGTCACTATGCAAAGGGACCTCTCAACCGGTAAGGCCAGACACCCCCCATGGAGAGGAACAAAGGAAGGTGGATGCTGCCCTGGCTGGGGGGCAGGGCTGGAAGAGTGTGGGTTAGTTGCTGTCTGGGAGCATGGAGGAGACAGGGGCCCAGTCTCCCCCATCTCAAGGGGGCCTGAGGCATCCTAGCCCAGCTCTGTGACCAGATTCCATCTGTGCTGTGCTGTATCCTGGAGAGGCAATAAACTTCCTCTATTCCACCGGCTGGTGCAGTCTGTTTGTGCCATTTCGGGGTGCAGGAGACGGGGGACCCCCAAGGCGCCGTCACACCCTGTTAAAGGCTAAGATCCTGAGCTTGCTTTTGCCCAGGCAACCGAATGGCCCCAAGAGGTCTGTTCCCGTCACATGCTTGTCTCCTGGGGTTTGAGCCCAGCAGACTCGCCCGGTCTTGAGCAGACCGGCACTCGAGCTGTGCCCTGGCGATGCCCTGAGCCAGGCTATGCTAGCGGTCTCTGGTGCTGCGTGGGCCCAGCGGGGGGAAGTGCCTGGCTGTTCCCCTGGCCCCTTGCCAGCGATAGAGCTGCATGGCCCGCGTTGCAGTGGCATAGGCTGAACGGCGCCGGCGTGCGCGTCCAGGGCGGCGAGGGGACGCGCGCTCTCCCGGGTCACTAAGGGCATAGGCAGGGGATAGTCCCTCTGCTTAGCGCGAGGCGTGTGAGCTTTTCCTGGGTGGGAGGGAGGCGTTCGAGTTTGCGCAGAGTCCCACCTGGCAGCCCGTGAGCACAGCAATCCGTGGGGGAGGTTCTCAGGGGTTTGCGGTGGAGCGGGGAGTCCCAGGGCTGGCGCTAGTCAGTAGCGGGGTGGAGAGTGCGCGTCTATCGGTGCAGAGGGGCTGCGAGCACGTCGGAGGTCGGGTCAGAGTTCAAAATGGCTTGGCCCAACGGCGAACGTGTCTGACGGCCACAGGCCGAAATCTGCCAGACAAGGGCGAAGCGCTTCACTCGGAACAGGAACGGACGAATCACACGACAGCTGCAAACTGGGGAACGGCGCGGGGCCCGTCTGCCGCCAAGCGCCTGGGTGCCAGCGGCTGATGCCGCAGTGAGAAAGGCTCCTGGCGCGCTGAGGGGCACTTCCAGGAGCGCTGTGTGGGCGGCGCGGGGGCTGTCTGCCTCACTCTGCCCGGCACTGGGCAGCACCGCGCTCTAGGGGAGAGACGGGCACGTGGCAGAGAGCCCAGGCGAGCACAAGAAGCTTTAGAAAAATCTCACCAGGGCGGAAAAGTTGGAAAAATTGGGCACGTTTAGCCTCACAATAGAAGTGAGGGGGACCCGAGCAGAGCCTGTGTTGGAGAGGGCGGGGCTCCCCTGTTCTCCCTGTCCCCGGAAGGCGGGCAAGGTGCCCCGGGCGTACCCTACAGCACGGTCAGAGGGTGGGAAAGTCGTTCAGCCCCGCGACAGGCTCCCGCCGCCTGTCCCGGGAAGGGCTCCGTTTCTCCGGTCCTGCCGCTGGGGGGGAGGGGAGGGGGAGATGAGCTCTCCAGGCCCCAGCAGCCCGACATTTCGGTGAGGATGCTTTGTTGGGTCTGGGCCTGACGCCTCAGCCGGGGCCTTTCCCCCAGTTCCTGGCGCACAAACTGGCCCCAAGGAATAAGCTCACCCCTGGATCTCAGCTTGCGGTTTGTGAGAACAAAGGCTGCAGTTGTCTGGGGAACGGGCTCCTAGCGCCCAGGAGCCCAGGAGCAGCTCTCGGCCGCGCTGGGCGAAGCTGTGCGGCGGGGAACGTCTGCGCAGAGCAGCGGGGCTGCCGGGTGTGATTCGGGGGCAGGAGGAGCAAGGGAGGGATTACCTGCAGCCATCTGGCCGAGAACCGGATTTCAACAAAGACTTCCGGCTCAACCCATGTTCAAGAGGGGTGAGAAATTCCCAGCTCGCCCGAGGTGCAGATCTGAAAGCGCCTGGGTCGAGGGGTTGTTCTGGGCCTCCCCGGCTGGCGTCTTTCAGCAGTGTCAGTACCAGGGAGACTTGGGCATTTGTGGGCGGCAGACCCTGCCCCAGGGCAGAACTGCAGAGCCTGACGCACTGTGGAAGCAGCCCAGTGACTGTCCAGGGCAGGAGGGGAACTTCCCCAGGGCAAATCCCGGCCCAGCCCAGGAATAAAGCTGCAGCAAGGGGCAGGCGGCTTTTATTCCCCGCATTCCGGTCTTGCATGGCCAGCAGGGGCCCGAGTGGATGTGACACCTGTGAAGCCAGGCAGGGCTCCACCCCCGCCCCCAGGGACTAAGGGCAGACAGAGGAGCAGGGACAGCTACTGCCGCTGCTAGGAGACGCGTAAACAACCCCCGTGCAGCAGCGTCTCAGGAGACCGTGGTGACATCGAGCCCCATCCATCCCCCAGGCCGGCGTGCAGGAGAGGCCCTGCCCTGCTGCACACACCTGGCCACT